GGGGGCCGGCGCTCACCATGCGCCACGTGCCCGGGGCCAGGCCAGCCCTGAGCACTTGGCAGGCGCATGCAAATGCCCCCGCGGGCGCCATGGCGCCCGCGGGCACCGTGTTGGGGACCACGGGCCTAAAGGGAAGTAATTACATGGAGTCTGAGTGTAAAAAAGAAACTTTTAATAAAAGGGATAGAAGTAACTTGGTATTATTTTGGAAAGCACCAAAGAGTTCATAAATAAAACCCATGAATAAAAGTCCCACTCCAAGTAGGTTGGGCCGTGTCCTTTTCCTCTCAAGTTCTTATGTCCAGCAATCTAAATGTTCCCTGCACATGCCCAGGCCTTCTCTGCACCCCACTCACAGTTGCTGTCCTTGGTCAAAGCAGAACCAGAGTTCAAAGGTGCATTGGCAGAGCTCACCTCCCATCCTGAGTGTGGGAGGTAAAGAGGCATCTTAGTCACTCTGCTGGTCACTCGCCATCTACCTGCTCATTGTTCTCTGCTGTCATCCTGCTGGCCATTTGTCTCACCTCTCCACCGCCACCTTGCTGGCTGCTTATTATGCCTTTCTGGTGCCACCCTGCTGGCCACTCATCACATCTCTCTGCTGTCACCCTTCTGGCTGCTCATTTTGCCTCTCCGGTGCTGCCCTGCTGGCAACTCATCCTGCCACTGCTGTTCTGCTGGCTGCTCAAAGTATTTCTCTGCCACCACCCTGTTGACTCTCAGTCATGATCCGCTGCCCTCCACTTCTTGGTTGTGACTTCTGCCCATCAGTCTCAAATGATTTCAGCTCCCGGTGATTTCATATTTTAGCAAGCAGGGTAGAAGCAACACAACTACAGCACAATTAACATAAGGGAAAAGGCACTTAATGATGCCTGTTTAGCTCTTGTTCTTTGAACAGTGAGGGGAGGAGGAAAACAGGTCAAACCAGTCCAGGCAGGCGAGGCCATAGCCTCCTGACTAGAATAACCTATTCTCATCCCTCTGTAAGTTGAACTTCTGCATTATCAATATTCTTTCTGCTAACTGTGAGCCTTTTCAGTTGGAACAATTTAGCACAATCTTACTTTTCTGAAGTCCCACAAACATTGGTAACTATATTTTAGCTATCCCTGCATTTAATACAAACATAGCTGTTGTTGGGTCACAAATTAAGTTGATTACAATAAGCAAAATGCCACTCCATCTGCTGAATAACTAACAAATCTAAACAAACCAGGAAGTAGCTGTATTTACAATGACACACCCAGGGTCTCTCACCACTTCCAACTAGCTATAAAGGACACATTCATTCAGATCCTGCTTACACTGCAGTGAAGATTGCAGAACTGTTTTGATGATAAAGCTTTGTCTTCACTGAAAAAATATTTTGTATATTTTACATCTTTTCTGCTTGGTCTCTGGTCAGAGGCAAATATTCTGCTGCTGCTTTGCTTCTTTGTCCTCTTCCAAGATCCTTCTCATATGCTTATGAGGATAACAGAAATATGTATTCCCACATGAATTCTTAAGTTTTAAATGTCTGAATGTTGCAATTTGAATCTTTAATAATCTTCATTGATGAGTGTGTCAATAATCCAATTAGAAAACCAAAAGCTGATAGATGATTATTTTTACTGAAGTTATCAATGACTGAAAATTATGCTGAGGTTAATGTTGCTAGAAAAGCTATTCTGTAGGGAACATGGCATAGGCACTCTGGAATAAAATATTATCCAATCAGAAAATTGTCCAAGAACTAAATGTAGTTTATCTGGTACAGACCATTTAAAATGGATCTGAACAAATGGACAAACCTCCCTTTTTCTTAAAATGAGAAGCCTACCTTCTTTACACCAGCATAAGTTTTTCCATAGAAATTCCAACCTGTATTCTTTAACAAGATTAACGAAACTTTTACCTATTTTTAGATTTTTTTTCTATTTATTTTGTAGCAACAGAAAGAAGTTTCTTGAGAAATGACATTAGTACAAAAAAAGAGGGTTTAAGTTGTCTGATCCAAAAACATATTTTTGGTTTTCTTAGAAGGCATATCTTCCCACCTGGATAGTTGGTGGTTGTCATCCTGTTGGAAAAAATGAACAGTAATTCACAGATCACATATGTCTGGGAAATCTTTCAGACCCCAGTGCTGCTGGGGCTCTGTGTGGGCACAGTAATTCCCTTGCATGATGTCAACTGGAGAATCAGTGATGAATTCCTGCCCATATTGGAGATCCTGCAGCTGCATGCCAGGTCTGAGGTCGCAGGAAGCATGTGCGCTGCTCCCCCCTCCCCAAACTGCTGGCACCTGAAAAGCCGGGTCTGCCACACCGCTGGGGACTTCCTTCCCCCTGCTTCCTGCCTTACTTCCTGTGCAGGGGGCAGGGGGAGTAGGAATCCTGGGACTGTGCACCAGCTCCAACTTCTCAGGAAGCGCTTGCTCTTCCTCCATTCCCCACAACAGCCAGCACGCTTCCTGAGAAGTTGGAGCTGGTGTGCAGTCCTGGGACTCCTACTCCCTGTTCCCCACCACAACCACCACACACACTGCATAAAGGAAGGCAGGCAGGAAGCAGGAGGAAGGAAGTCCCCAGCACCACGACACACCTGACTTTTCAGGAAGTGCACTGGCTCTTTAAGGGAGGGGAGGAGCCACCCACACACTTCTTGAGATGCTGGACCTGGCGCACAGCTGTGGCATTTCTCCCCCACGCCACAGGAAGCCGGAGCTACCTCCATTTTCACAGGAGGTAGTGCCAGAGTGGGCTCCTTCTTGGGGTGGGGAGGAATGATGGGGTGGAGCTGGGATGCCTCACGATTGACTGGTCGTGCCCCCAAAATCGACTAGTCGATTGTGATCGATGGGTTGGTGACCACGGTTCTATGTTCATTTTTATTTATCTTTTATTTTTTTCACGGACCCCCTGAAATACCCTCATGGACTCCGAGGAGTCTGTGGACACCAGGTTGCGAACCACTGGTATAGTCGATACAAATTGTATCGACTGTACAGTTAACCAGATAATCGCATTTTAACATCCTTAGCAGCCACAGAGTCCAAACATTCCCCTTTGCGTTCTGGGTAACACAGCCTAGTGGCCACAGAGTCTATATACAGTCAGCCCAGCAGCCTCAGAGTTTATACACAGTATAGCCTATTGGCCAGAATCAGTATGCAGTCCCCCTATATTCAGTGTATCATGGCCCAGCAGCCTCAGTCAGTATGCAGTCCTCCTGTACACAAGGTAGCATGCCCTGTGACCATAATCAGTATGCAGTCCCCTTTACTAAGGGTTGTACAGCTTAGCGGCCTCAGAGTTTACACACAGGATGGCCCAGAAGCCTCAGAATCAATATACAGTCCCTCTGGGATCAGGGTAATGTGGCCAAACAGCTATAGAGTCCCTATGTAATAATCACAGCTCCCCCACATTAGGGTATCTGAAGAGGGAAGTAGGGGGACCTGGGCCCTCCCTGTTAGCAATGGCATGGTCCATTGTTAGTTTAGCTCAGTGGGCACCTCCTTCCCCTGCAGCAGTCATCCCTGACGGAGCAGCTCCAGAGACTTTTATAGCCCGCCTCCATTTGAAGCATATTTAATAATGGTGTTGTTAAGTTATAGCAAAACCATCCTGGAATTCTGTAATTTTAAGAAAAAAACTTCTTTCGGTTTATATAACTTGTATATCTCAATAGAAAATCTTCTTTTGTAACAGAAAACAATGTATATCCCGGAAGATGCAAGTTGCTCATTAACAATGAATTGGCAGGCTATGATTATGAAGCTCCAGGAGAAAGACTCTACAATCCAAAAATTAGAAGCAGAATTACAAGAATATCAGGAAAATGAAGATACAAAAACGGTAGGTTTTTTTTAAAGTCCTGAATTTATTCTTTGAACATGTTTACATACTGTAGTAGCATTTTCTAGTCTCTTCTACAGGTATAGGAAACTAGATAGAAAGCCTGTTCAGGATATTTCCTGCATTTTGGGGACCACGTTCTTAGCTGGTATAAATTGATGTAACTCTGACTATACTGAAGCTACTCTTACTGAGGTTCTGGCCCTGCACTGGCAATTATACCCCATACTGTTTTTCCCCTTCAAATTCTTGTCTAACAATAGTTGCTCTTACTATTACCTTTCACTGTTCATTTGGCTGTCATCCTCAGGGATGGAAATTCCAACTATATTCTGTTAGTACCCGTTCTTACTTAGTTTAGATTGTCTGTGTAACTGACCTGTTAAATAACAGCAACTCAGACAAATATTTAATATGTCTCTGAGTTTTTTCTTTAAGGGTACGTCTAAACTACATGCCTCCGTCGACGGAGGCATGTAGTCTAGACACACCCTAAGATTATGGAGATCAGTAAAATCAACTCATCAGTACATAACCTAGTTGATGGATTCTGGAGCGTTTCTGTGAGCTATTCTGCCCCAAAAAGAACTGGCCAAACATTTGGCATCAACTCAACATAACAACAATAAAAGTGTTGGAGAAAATTCCAGAGTGCTGGCATCAGTATATAGCTTCTAGCTAGACTGGGCATGAACAACCAGCTGGGTGCTTATGGATTCTTAGTTGAAGGGAGAAATAAAATTTCAGCTTGACCTTTCCCTATTGTTCCTGATCAGCTGCTGCTTTCTGTGGGTACATCTACACAGCAGGGTGAAAGTTGAATTAAGCTACGCAACCTTAGCTATGTCAACCGCGTAGCTTAAGTCGAAATAGCTTAATTTGGCTTCTGGCGCTGTCTACACAGCAGGAAGTTGAAGGAAGAACACTCTTCCTTCGACTTCCCTTACTCCTCGTGAAATGAGGGTTACCATGAGTTGGAGTAAGAAGTCCTTCAGCTTGACATTATTTTGAAATAAAGGCTTGTAGACGTGCAGTATGTTATTTTGGAACAATGCCAGTTATTCTGAAACAGTGCTGCTGTGTGACATGCCCTATGACATTTCTTATCTCGATTTAGCTGAAAAAAGTCCCTCTGGGACCATCTTTCTCATTTTCCTACTGCCATTTGGATATCTCTTTATGCCTGCAAGTTTGGTTGAGCACACCTCAAAGAACCTGGGCTTCTCCTATAACTTAACATTAAATTCTATTATGCATTAGTACTATGAGCAGAAGTGTAGAGTTTAAGGGCATTTTTGTTTAAAACAATTTTTACTTAATGAAAGGATGGAAATTATTTTCTCTTTCCATTTGGTTTTTGACTCACTGGATTTCTTAAAAACTGCTTTGATTTTTCAGTGAAAAATTGCTGATTATTAGTCTATAGCCCTTTGTATAGTGGATATTTTTTAAATAGAAACATCTGAGAAAGATGTTTATGTGTTTGTCTACTATTAACTTATGAGAAACTATTGAAGATTTTTAGTAAGAATAACTAGTATGTTGATTTTCTTATTTAAAGTTTCTGTGTGTGCACTGATGAGATATTGTAATAATATTTGAAATAATTCCTTATAGTTTGCTTTTATAGTTTGCTTGATCAATAGATCAAGAATTTATTGGCACCATATTGGCCTGGTGTGTTAGTAATCTATGGACTACCTACCAATAATGATTGATAAGTTGGAGAGACATTACCTCTTTGCTGATGGTTAACTGACAAGTCTAATGGAGATTCTGAATGATGTCACTGGGAAGACAGTGTATAGCAGGTCCTAATTAAAGATCTGATCCTACAGCTTTTGAAATCAGTAGCACTATTAACATGAATAAGGCCTGTGCAGGATCAAGTCCCTAGCAAGGAATTGTACTTGGGTAATACTTTTATACCTTAACCCACTGTGTGAAAAATCCACACCCCTGAGAGATGTAGCTATACCAACCTAATCCCTGCTGTAGACAGCACTAATCAATGAAAGACTTTCTGTTGACCTAATTACCTGCCACCTCTTGGGGACATGGATTACCTGTGCCAGGGGCAGAGCACCTCCAGCTCATGTACCACACACGGTTCTTCAGAGTTGGCTGCTGGCAGGCGACTAGATGGTTTGTTTACCTGAGTGTCTGCAGGCATGGACACTCCTTAGGAGAGGAGTTCTTGGGGGAGCTCACCAGACAAGGAGCCTAGAGGGTGCAGTCTTGGAGACAGGGATCTCCTTTGAGAGACTGTGTCAGCCGACGGTCAGGGCAGTGAGTCCCTTATGACCGGCTGAAGTTCTTTTAAATTGTGCTTGGTTCTGTTACAGCAACTGAAGGAGTCAGGTTAAAGCTTAAACAGTTACTATTTTATTGTTACAAGGTAAACTTAGTTGTTAAATGCTATTGCTGTGTTACAGATAACACAGCCACTACAAAGGACAGGACAGAAATTACACTAAGAAGTCACTTACAGGTACCATGAAACCCTTTTGGTTCTCTGAGCTCTTATTAAATGCATGCAAAATAGACACATAGCAGGTATATATTCTCACCCCTGCGTTCCAGACTTGGCGTGGCCAGCGTCTTTCTCTCAATCCCTCGGGAAGAAGTAGGGCGAGGTGGGGCGTCCCACAGACCTCGGGAGACAATCAATACCTGCCAGCAGGTATAGATGATTGGAGCTCGGGGTGGGCTACTAAACCCCTCTTTATACCCCTTGGGTCATGTAGGCTTCTTCCTGGTCTCAAGTGGCCAATTAGGAAAAATGGCTTTGAACACCAACTTTCCCACGAAGGGTGCAAAGCATAATTTACACCTGGGAAAATGCAAATAATGGGCACCTCTGGTATGTGATGGGCGAAGATTCCTCGCCTGGGACAGTGCAGGCGTGTCAATTACTGGTACTAGCCATCAGGGCGACGGGAGGCCCCGGGTCATCAGCTTGTGAGGGGAAAGCGGGCACACCGGCGTTCCCAGGGCATCAAAGGCTGCCTGCCTTTCCTGGGGGGGGGGGGGGGGGGGGAAACAAGATGGGGTTTGTGGAAAAACAAGATGGGGTTTGTGTCTGGCTACAGACTGCCAGAGCAAGGTGCTTCAGAGGTGCTTGATGGGATAAGAGATTCTTAAGGGGAGAGCTGCAGAAGGTAGGCATTTAGGAAGACATGGGGAAAGGCCTAGCAAAAGGATTTCCCAAACAGTGGCCAGAAACCCAGTCTACTAGGAACTATGTGCTGCCCTGGGGAAGAGCTGTAGCTGACAGTTCTCTATGGACCTCTAACGGTGGGGAAATTACCCACATACAGTCAAGAGTCTTGACTCCCCCTACAGGTAAAGGGCTTGGACAGAGATGAGCAGTGGACTAGGTGAGAACAGATAAACTAAGAGTGACCCTGTCTCCCAGCTTAGATGCTGGGATGGAGGTTTGCTTATGTTACGTGTTGTTCCTTTTGTTAAATAAATTAGACGCTTGAAGAGAATGCTTGTCAAATACCTGAATGCTTGGAAATGTTTATAGCCCGGGCCAGGGGAAATCAAAGCAGGGCTTACCTGGGGTGCCATGTTTGAGAGCAAGGGGGTGAGCCAGGGTGGCTTGCACTATAATGAGGCTAATAAATTTCAGCTGGAGACTAGCTGGTGCATCTGCAATGACATTAACTAACAGTGCAATGGCTTAAAATGCATTTTGATGTAAACTCAAACACATTGTGTCACCAACACAATGAACAGAAGTGGCAAAGAATTTTAAGAGAAGACTTTGTCAACTGCTCAAGTAAAAGGTACTGGAAAATTTGGGCATTACTGATATTTGGTGGGATGAGTTGCATGACTGGAACATTAAAATCACTGGTTTATAACCAGTGTCCCCTCTAATTTTTATGTCCATAAAAAATGACTTTCATTATGTGCACCAATGTGTCTTGCAGGGCTCGGGCCAAGGGGTTGGGGTGTGGTAGGGGGCTCAGGGCTGGTTTGGAGGCTTGGGACACAAGAGGGGTAAGTGCTGAAGGTACAGGCTCTGGGCTGGGGCTGAAGGGGTTGAGGTGCAGGCTGTTCTGGGGAGAGAGGACTATCCCAGCCTTCTCTCACTGCAGCAGCATCGGGCCATGTGAGAGGTGCTTCTCCATGGCCATGGCAGCTCCAGTTGGCACAGGCAAAGGAGGGGCATCAGTCTTCCAGCCAGGGGACGTCTAGCTAGGCTGGGCCCCAGCTGCAACACTTCTGGGGCAGCGACAGGTGGGGTCCAGGGAAAGGGAACCTGTAAATGAGCTCCGGAACCCTTGCATCTCGCAGGCTGCTGCCTGAACCTGAACCTGAACATGTGCTCTGTAATTAAATGTCCCCTTTTCCTAAGCTCTGTGAGCCTGGGTCTGCTAGCACTGGTCAGCTGCAGGTTTTTAGTTGTAGTGCAAACATGTCTTTAAGGAGCTCAGTCTGTTTAGCTTATCAGAGAGCTAAGTAGTAAAGGGTTCTTTAATTTAGTAGAGAAAGATATACAAATTAGGGATGCAACAGTGTATTTGTTTAAATGGTAACCCACAAACCTCCCCTTCCTCCCTCCACTGCCTCTGTATCAGAAGCAGCAGCACAGAGGAGGAGGGGAGGTGGCTCCCCTTGAGCATCGGCTCCCATGGAGCCATCTCCCCCGCCCCGTGTATAAATGTGTCACTGCTGAAAATTTCAGCAGTTACACGTTCACAAAACCTCCCTGCTTTTTAACATCCCTAAAACGAATCATGGTTGGAAGCTGAAACCAGACAAATTGCAATTGGAAATAAGGTGCACATTTTTAACAGTGAAAGGAACCACCAAGGAAAGTGATGCATTCTCTTAGCCTGATGTCTCCAGATCAAGTCTGGATTCTTTTCTGAAAGATACACTTTAGCCAAACAGAAGTTATTGAGTTCAGTACAGAAGCAACTATGTGAAATTTAGTGGCCTGCAATATACAGGTGGTTAAACTAGATGATCTGATTAGCCTTTCT